GTTTGGGGGCCAAGTTGGGCTTTGTTTACATCAAGACCCCTTTTTTGGTGCTCCTTTCTCATAGCCTAGGGTTTGAGGTGTAGTGCTGTGGAATATTGGGATGGCAATGTTTCTTGGGCCGGAGACACCACTAAATCCCTCCCGAGCTCCTAAGCACCTCAGAAAAGCCTCCAAACCGCAAGCCCCTCTGCCGTAAACCCTAAACCCCAAACCCCAAACCCCAAACTCTAAACCCCAAACCCTAAACCCCAAACCCTAAACCCCCCCAAACCCTTGCATCGACTCGCAGGTTGCTGATCAAGGCGGAGGAAGGGGTTTGCACCGGGGGTGCCTCCGCCTGAAGTCCGTGAGGGAGGGCTGCTTAGTTGGGGAGAGGGGGGGGGGGGGGGGGGGGGTGGAGGTATGGGCCTGGGGTTTAGGGTTTAGGCTTAGGGTTTAGGGTTTCGGGTCTTGGGCTAGGGTTTAGGGCTTAGGGTCACTGAGGGGGATGTGCCTGGGGTTGTTGGGCCGTGGAGGGTTTCACTTATTACTGGGCAGGCTTTTGGGCTCCGGGTCGACTGTAGGCTTATGAACCCTAGACACCCACCACAACTCCCAAAGCCGGGTTTCGGAGTCTTGGGGTCTCGGAGCCAAAAGAAGGGTCTGACTTAGGTTTAAGGTCGGGGCGGGGCCGGGGGGGGCGGGGCGGGGGGGGGGCGGGCGCTTATTCTGGCGCTTTCGGACTTATAGGGTTTAGGGTTTTCAGGGTTTAGGAGTTTAGGGTTTGCGAGTTCAGGTTTGTTTTGGGTTCTCCAACCCAAGCAACGCCTTTGAACAGCCCAGGTGTAATGTACCACCGCTTCCTGACGAAGACGCCGTCGCAGCAGCAAGTGCTCCAGGACGAAACCCTAACCGTAAACCCTAAACCCTGAACCCTGAACCCTGAACCCTGAACCCTGATCCCTGAACCCTGAACCCGAAACCGCTCCAGGAGCGAGCCCGGCAGCGGCAAAAGCTGAAAGAGCGGAATGCGAAGCTGGCGCTCGGAGCTGCAGTCTGTTTGTGTTATACCTAAAACAAAGGGGTCGGGATTTAGGGTTTAGGGTATAGAGTTTAGGGTTTAGGGTTTAGGGTTTGTGTTATACCTGGGACTCTTCTTTGGCTACAGTTTTTTACGGGTTATACCTGTTAGGGCATACCTGGGCTCTCTTTGCCTACAGGTTCTTATGGGTTATACCTACTAATTAAGGGGTAGCTGCTACTAAACCTGTAATCTGCTTGTGTTATACCGAATACAGGGGTCGGAATGATTAGAAGTAATATTCCCTTATGGTCCCTCTGCAATTATGCTATAATTATAATAACCCCCCCCCAAAACCTATTCTAATTGTTCAGGCCCCCTGCTTTTACTAATCAAGGGGTAGTGTTGCTACTAAAATGCAGGTAGGTAGTGTCCCAGGTAGGACCTCTGGGGCGTGGGGTTAAGGATCGAGGCTTTAAAGGTTTCAGGGCCCGATGCCCGATTTGCAAAACGCTGAAAATGGTTTGCATTGTTACCATGGCTTCCGTTGTCTGGACCCCCCCCCCCCCCCCCACAAAAAAAAAAAAAAAACCCTCCTGCAAGCACCCAACCCATCATCCCTCCCCAAAAAATAGAAGACAAATAATTGGAGTACTAGCTATGACGAGGAGAAGGGTCGCAATAGAGGCTGCAACAGCAGCAGTAAAAGCAATGGCCAGTAGCAACAATATACCGGCACATACCGATATCGAGATTGGCAACCTAAACCCTGAACCCTGAACCCTGAAACCATAAACCCTAAAACCCTAAACCCTAAAACCCTAAACCCTAAACCCTAAACCCTAAACCTAAAAACCCTAAAACCCTAAGCCCTAACCCTAAACCCGAAACCCCAACACAGCAACACCTGGCTGCCCTCCCTGAGCCCAGGAAGCCAAAGCGAAGGCAGCAAAGAGCAAGAAGCGGAAGCGGAACTCGAAGGTCGGCTGGCGCTAGTAGGGTTTAGGGTTTAGGGTTTAGGGTTGAGGGTTTAGGGTTTAGGGTTTAGGGTTTAGGGTTTAGGGTCATTATTGGTTTAGGGTTTAGGGTTCAGGGTTCAGGGCTTAGGGATACTACTGGTTGCTTAAGAACCCTACACAAACGCAGAACAAGGTTCTTCCTTATTCGGGTAATATATAGGGATTGTTTTTGTTTTTGTTCTTTTGTCTTTTTTTTTTTTTTTGCGGGGGGGGGCGGGGTTCTTGAGCAAATAGTAGTTTAGGATCAAGCAAGTCGGGCCAACTATTTACAGGTTTTAGGGTGGAGGACTAAGGATTTTTGAGCTTCGTAGAGTTCAGGTCTGATTCTCGGGATGATAGGGCTCCGCGGACTTTCGAGGGCCTTGGGCTTACCTGGGACGCTATTTACCTACAGTTTAGTAGCAACTACTTGGGATGTTCAGCCTTTTAGTAACGGCCTTAACAGGGATTGTACCCTCCGCAATTGGGCTAAACGAAAAACGGGGGACATCCCAAGGAACTACCCCTTGGTTAGGTTATAACCCAGGTTTAGGGTTTAGGGTTTAGGGTTTCAGGTTCAGGGTTTAGGGTTTAGGGTTTAGGGTTTAGGGTGTCCCATAGGTCTTCTGCAGTCTGCCGCAGGAGAATGAGGAGGACGACGATGAGCCGCCTGCGCAGTATGATGACTTTGACAACGACTGAGTCGCAGGGCCACGTCAAGCTCCATGTATTGGTTATTGGTTGTTCTAAATTTGTAGTCCCTTGGGGCGGATCTCTAAATGACGGTGTACTGGTTTAACGGTGCCAGTCAGGGCCCGTCATCCAGCGCAAAACCTTTGGGTGAACACGCCACGACTCAAGCCCTAAACCCTAAGCCCGAAACCTCGGCTGTCCGCCGTCCGCAAAAGAGCGCTGCCGCTCGTTCGTGGGCATGGGTCCTTGGGAATGGCACGAGAAAGAAGGGTTTCCATACACTGTAAACCCTAAGGCCCTAAACCCTGTGGCCCTAAACCCTAAACCCTAAACCTTATGAGAACCCCAAAGTGGGGAACTGCAGCCCTCGACCCGGAAGCCAGAGGAAGAGAGTAGACACAGTAGGAAGGGTTTAGGGTTTAGGGTTTGGGGTTTAGGGTTTAGGGTTTAGGGTTTCGGGTTTAGGGTTCTGGGCCCTAAACCCTAGACCCCTAGGCCCCAAACTCTAAGCCTTTCTTTTTGCTCACAAACCCTAACGAATCCCAGCACCTAGTGGAAACCAAAAGTGGGTGACGAAAACCTGCCCCAGGGTGTCTGGCCCGCATACCCTTGACGACACCCAAATGGAAACTCAAAAGTTGCACCCCCCCCCCCCCCCCCCAACCTCAGTCGTTGGACCTCTAAGTGAAACCCTCCTTTTCCCCTTAAACCCTGAAGCCTGAAGCCTGAACCCTGAACCCTAAACCCTAAACCTAACGACCGGGACCTCAGCCCCCTTGGTCCCCCCCCCCCCCCCACAGAAAGGGTTTCTGGTCGACATACCATTCACGGGGATCAGAGCATTCTCGAGGCTAGGGTTCAGGGTTCGGTTAATCCCAATCTTCCCAATCTTGGGGTTTCGTTGAGTAAGTTAACTAAACCTTAGCTCCCGAGGATAGGTTTCGCGGCTACGGTAGCCACGTGGCGCATGGATGTTGGAAGCTTGTGATTGCGACACCCCAAAGCCCTCAGGACCCGAAGCCCCTTAAGCTTCAGATCTCTTCCTTACACTTAAAGCCCATCAGAGCCCTAAACCCTTTGACCCGTAAACCCTGTTTTAACCCTCAAACCCTTGCCCTAAACCCTAAACCCTAAACCCTTGAAAGCCCCACAGTGAGCTCGAAAGGGCCACCCCGCCAGGACCGCCACGCCTGGCGTGCGGTGGGGGCCCGACGCCCTCGCCGGCTCGTGGCTCAGAGGGTCGAGGGCGTGGAGGATTTTCTTGGGGGGAATGTCGGGGTTTTGGGACTTATGGGTGTTTTTTGTAGGGGTTTAGGGTTTCAGGGTTTAGGATTGAGGGTTTTCTTTTTATATAATTGGGGATTGGGGGTTGACATCTGGGACAAACTAAGTTCCGAGCTCCATATCATACAGCCCTATCGACATACTCTACTAGCAAGGCCCTGGGGACATTTTTCCCAGTTATTGGTTTTAAGAGGGTCACATTTAGGAACATTGTTCAGATGGTTTTATGGACCATCCTAGTCTAGACCACTTTAGACCTAGGACCTGAAATCATCTCGGGTCCTATACCCTATACTTCTATAATTCTTACTAAGGTATATGAACCATAAACCCTTTTAGGGCTCATTTCATCCCCAAAGCTCTCTCCTGACCCTGACAGGGCCAAGGCCGACTTGGGGGTTTAGGGTTTAGGGTTTAGGGTTTAGGGCTTAGGGCTTAGGGCTTAGGGTTTAGGGTTTAGGGTGCACGAAGGTCAGGAAGTCGTCGACAACGTGCTGGCAATCGTTAGCATACGCGACCCTCGACATCCCAAATGTTCAAAGCCCCAGACTCGCCCTAAACCCTAAACCCTAAACCCTAAACCCTAAACCCTAAACCCTAAACCCTAAACCCTAAACCCTAAACCCTAACCCCAACAACCCCCCAATCCCGCAACCGAGGCCTGAGCCGCCTCTGGCAAGTCTTCGCTTTGTACGCTGTCGACAGGTCGCTGAACGAGGCCTGGAAGGAGGGAGACTTGTCTTTTGGGCTAGGGCTTAGGGTTTAGGGTTTAGGGCTTAGGGTTTAGGGTTTAGGGTTTGGGGTTTAGGGTTTAGGGCTTAGGGCTTAGGGCTAGGGCTTAGGGCTTAGGGCTTAGGGCTGAGGGCTTAGGGTTTAGGGTTTAGGGTTGAAGGCTTTGGGGCTTGCGGTTTGCGGAAAATCATACCGCATAGTACCTGTAGCTACATAAGAGAAATTTCTTAAACCCTAAGCATCTGCAGTAGAGACCGCCGTCTAGGTCGCCCCGATCCTCCCCCCTACAGACGGAGGTGTCAGGGTTCCGGCATTTTCTTGGCGGTGACCCTTAAGCCCTGAACAAACCCTCAAAACCCCTAAACCCCAAAGACTAGACTGGTTGAAGGCATATCTCCAGATAGAGAGCTTTGCGGTCCGGCATGGCGGTTCATCGCCAGATCTTCCGTTCAGGGAGGGCCCTTTGCTTAGAAGTAGACGTCCGTAGGGTCCATCGGGATGGGGTTAGAAGTGCGAAAACGTAATATAGGGGTCGGAATAATTACGAAGAGTATTCCCTTGTGGCCCCTTTTTAATTCTACTATATATACCATAATAACCCCCAATATCCTTTTCTAGTTCATGAAGGCCCCTATATGAAGCTTTAGGTCATGAGCTACTGCCCCAGCTAGGAGCTCACACCTGATTTTTTTGTGGAGAATTCTTGTCGGCAATGCTGGGGCCTAAACTTTCAACCAAAAACAACTTCAAACTCTAAATAGCTTAGGACCTAGGACCCTAAGCCTCCGAAACCCCAAACCCTAAACCCTCAACTAAATAGCTTAAGACCCTAAGCCTCCAAACCCCAAAGCCCTAAACCAACAGCTGCTGCCTTCAGTTGAAGATCGAGAACCAATTGAAGGCTGCGGGGCTGGGCCCGCTGTTGGAAATTTTCGCCAGATGTAGGGGACCCGCAATATAGACCCCCAACTCGTAGGATTCCCTCATAATAAGGGCCCCAATCAGGTACCCCTAATATCGTAAACCCCCAGATGTGCTGTTTGGAGGGTTCAGGACGTTCAGGGTGGAAGTCTTTTTGGGCGTCTGGAGCTTGACCCCTGACACCAAAACTCAGCAAGAACCTGACACGAGGTGATGTTCCCAAAGCCCCCGCAGCCACTGTCTCACCACGCCTTGCAGCACCAGACTTTGTCTGAGGGGTTTAGGGTTTAGGGTCAGGGGGGGGGCTTGGGGGGATTTGGGCGTTTAGGGCCTGTTTCGGGTCAAGGTGGGAGGGGTTGAGGTTTGCAGGATTTAGCGCCCTGTGAAGGCTTGGAGAATGTAGGGTGTAAGAATTTGAGGGTTTATCGGGGTTGAGGGCTGCGCTGCGCCTTACGGACGAAGGGTACTTGATCCCAATTTTGGGTTGCACTTGCTCCCAGCAGCGTACCCTCTAAACCCCACACTCCAAATCCCAAACACCCGTAGCCCTTGCCAGGCGAAAGGGAAGACCCATGTCTTGCACTCAGGGCAGGATATGCATGTTAAATGTGGAGTTGTGCAGCCCTAGACATATGGCTAGTCCTCTACACCATGGTCCTTTCTTGAGTACTCGAAACATCAGGGCACATACCAATGGCTTTGGCCCGGGTGTTTGCTGTGGCGGGGTTTACTTCAATAAGTAGATTCCCAACAGCGAAGGCTGCTGGGTTTCAGTCTCTAACGAAGACAATCCGACAGCTGGTTGTTGTTTTTTTTGATGGACTCGTTCTTTCAGAGCTCCTCCGCACCTGCGTTGCCATCACAGCTCCGTTGCAACTCTGAGTGGGGGGGGGGGGTTGGTGACGGTTGGTGAAGCCCCAACCCCTAAACCCTAAACCCTAAACCCTAAACCCTAAACCCTAAACCCTAAACCGAGCCATCGAAATCCCCCAAAGACCCTAAGACCCATGAATAGCTCTTAGTAAGGGGCAGTTCTCTAAATTCGGATCCCTTTTTGGAGTTTATGTAAGATTCCTTAGGAATATAGGAGCGTATAGTCCTCTTGAGGTTACTAGTAATAACCATACTTCATATAGTACGGTAGTACGGCACCCTTAAAGCCCAACAGGGACCCCAACAAAGAGGTCCTCTTGGGACCCCAGGAGGACCCCGAAACCATAAGCCCGCAAACCCTAACACCCTATAGACCCTAAACGCCAAACTATATTGTAGAGAGCAATACGAAGACTAAAAACCCCAAGACCCAGGGTTAAGAGTCTGATCCTCTGAACGCCGAGTTGTTCAAGAAGACGGTCATGGCCGGTTGCTGAGCTTTGGAGGTGAAGGGTGAAAGGGATGGGTAGGGGGCTTCGGGTTTGGGGGTTTGCAGGGTTTCGGGTTTAGAGCTAGAGTTTAGGGTTTGGGGTTTAGGTTTTTGGGTTTAGGTTTTTGGGTTTAGGGTTTAGGGTTTAGGGTTTAGGTTTAGGTTTTAGGGTTTAGGGTTTAGGGTTCCGGGTTAGCCTGCAACCAGTACCTCGACATCGCCACTTGCCGTGCGTCGAAGACTGGCCTCCCTGAGTTTCTTTGTGTGTTGCCCATGAGGGGGTATCCTAAACCCTAAACCCTAAACCCTCAACCCTCAACCCTAAACCCTAAACCCTAAACCCTAAACCCGAAAATGAGGGACCCTGAATAATATAGACCCCGAATAGTCGGGTTCCCTTATAATAAGGACCCCAATGAGGTACCTCTAATTTCGGAAGCCCCCATGAGGATAGGGGTTTAGTTTTCGGGGTTTATTCATATTAAGGGTTCAGGGTGTACGCATACAACCCTAGAACCGAAAGCCCAGTTAGACTCGATGCCCCAAGCTGGTGCCCTAAACCCCATCGTCTCGGTTTAGGGTTCAGATGGTTTAGATGGCTCAGGGTTGTGGGTTTACAGTGTGTTTAGGGCTGTGAGTTTTTTTCCAATGGCTTAGAGGGTTCACAGGGGTTCATAGGGTTCCGTAGGGTTTAGCGGGTTTATAGGCTTTGTACGGTTCATGGGGTTCACGGGGTAGGCCCTAAACCCGCCTTGAGGCCGAGCACGCCATGAAGTTCCTCCAGGGGGACATGCCGCACGTTGCCTCGAAGTTGCTGGGCGGAGACAGAGCTACTATTTGCTTGAGAACACCAAAAAAATCATAAAATTAAAATCCATAACCCCCGTATCACCCTTATAATGATGAACATCTTCATTTTTTAAGGGGTTCTTAAGCAATTCGTAGAGAGAGGGTTTCGGGTGTCGGGTTTGGGGCCTTCGGCCTTTGGTTGTGGAGTCAAGGAGCTAAAGGAGCGACCCTTGGGAGGGACCCTAGGGGCTACTTAGGTATGTAGGAGCTATATACTGAGATATATATACATATATGTATATATGTATATATGTATATATGTATATATGTATATATGTATATATGTATGTATGTATATATGCAGGCTTATGTAGGGGAATAAGAATAAGAGTGCTTAGGCTTTTCTTGGCTGTCTGGTTTTTTTCCAGGGTGATAAGTGTTTTCTAAGGGCTGCCTGAATCCCTTGTCCACAAAAGCTACGAAAATGGTAAGGGCCGACCGCCCACCCCCCGCCAAAGAAACCAAAAGTCAGGTAATCTGAAGTAGACTCAGTCTGTGTTGTCAAGTACTTCGGGACAGTGCAAGACAATGACTGTCTCCACCCAGCTTGGTGCTGAGGATTGGGTAGCGCAGAGCCCCGTTTTAACGAACCACTCCAAAAAACTGGTTTGCGCACCGGAAACTCTGAATCCTAAACCCAAAGCCTGGTCAGGTCTCATCCCAATTCGCAAGCGTTTTAGCTCCCCAGGTTTAGGGGTTGGGATACCGTATCCCCAACCGAAACCTGAATTATGGCATTTATGTTAATTGTGGTCTTCCCTTCACCAATCAAGGGGTCTTGGATTCCTAGGATGCCCAGTAGGTTCCTTATTCCTTTTTTTGGGGGGGTTTAGGTTCCCTTATAAGCCCCTTTAAGCAAAAAAAAGGGCACCCTTTTTAAGCCTAGGTTACTGGGCAGCCTGGATGCTGAGTTCCACCAGGCTCTTCACCCTGGACCTTGAGAACCCCGAAGACCAGACGGCCTAGATCCTGTAGTACAGGGTTCGACATAATTGAACGAATAGTATTCCCTTATGGTCCCTTTATAACCACACGATATGTACTATAATCACCCTAAACCCTAAACCCTAAACTCTAAACCCTAAACCCCCAAAACCCTATTCTTATAAATCGGGCCTCTACATTCGGCCCCAGGAACGGCCCTGCCTTGAGAACCCGAAACCTAGTTGTTTGTAGGCTCTTCTTCTAAAGCCCCTTATGGGGTTCTTAGGCAACCTACAAGAAAGTAGGTTTTGGGTTCTTAAGGTAAACCGTATTCTCCTTTAGAGCTTGAAACCCTGAACCCTGAACCCTGAACCCTAAACCCTAAACCCTAAACCGTATTTTCCTTTAGAAGAGCTTGTAGGGATGTGAGTGCTCAGGTTGTGCAACCTGTTCCCAGAGGCCGTGCCGCAGGAGAATTCTGGGACTGCCTGTGGGGTGTAGGGTTTAGGGTTTAGGGTTTCGGGTTTAGGGTTTAGGGTATATGGGGTTTAGGGTTTATAGGGTTTAGGGTTTTGGGTTTTCAGGGTTTCGTGCCCGACTGCTGAAACCCTCGCTTCCCCTTAGGCTTTAGGGCTTTAGGGCTTTAGGCTTACAGCTTACAGAGGCTTATTGGCTTCTTCTAGGGTTTAAATTAAAAATGGTGAAGTTCCAGATTCAGCTTGCGGGTGTATAGGGTTGGGAGGGAGTTCGGGCTTCGCGTTTTTGTTTTATCATTTTTTATTTTTTGTCGGGGGGGGGGGGGGGGGGGGGTGGGGCTGTCTAGGCGTGCAGGACCACAGATGTGGGGTGTTTGGGCGTTCTGGGCTCTCTTGCAGGGACAATAAGAGCCCCAACGCCTAAACTTGGCCTTGTGCATCCCAAATGTAACATCATGTAATTTAGGGTTTAGAGCTACTTTGTGTCAAATAGGGCTGAGGTAGGGGTAGACGATCCCGCCTGGCGCTCGAAGGAGTACCGGCCAACAGGGATCAAGCTTCTGCAGGACATGCACAAGCAACTGCAGGTCGGGCGCCGCTTCAGCAAGATTGAAATGGAAAGGTTGCTGCCTCTCGTTGCATTTCCTCGGATTTCTGGTTCATGTAAAGGTCTTGGGACGTTCCCCTTTATACTAGTCTTGAACAGGGATTACAATAGGGGGTACTATGATCCCCACTGAGGACCCAGAGACTCCAATACCCCTTAATTAAGGAGTATTCCTTAAATCACAATAATTCATAATAGGGTTCCTTATATGGTTTAAGGAATATTCCTTAACTAAGGGGTATTGGAGTCTCTGGGGACTGTTAGTATAAGGGGGAACATCCAAAGATAAGGCTATATTCCGGTGAGAGGTTGAGGGACCTGAGGGCTCATGCAGTCCTACGATGCGCCGCGCCCACCCCTAAGCCCTAAGCCCTAAGCCCTAAGCCTAAACCCTAAACCCTAAACCCTAAACCCTAAACCCTAAACCCTAAACCCTAAACCCTAAACCCTAAACCCAATGGACCCTAAACCCAATGGACCCTGACCCTCGGCTCTATGCTGGCTTTAAGGGGGGGAAGTAGGGGAAGACGTGAGGCCCAGCCCAGGGACCCAGAGACTCCATTATCCCTTAATTATGGAATATTCCTCAAATCATAACAGGGTTCCTTATGTCCTTCAAGGAATATTCCTTAAATCATAATAGGGTTCCTTATATGGTTTAAGGAATATTCCTCAAATCATAATCGGGTTCCTTATATGCTTTAAGGAATGCTCCTTAATGGAGGGGTATCGGGGTTCCTTAGATGGTTTACGGAATATTCCTTAACTAAAGGGGGATTGGAGTCTCTGGGGAGCCTCCCAGCCGCCATGGCCCAAACCGCGCGCTGCGCGGCCAAATTCTTGTCTTCGGCCACTGCTTTCGGCGCCGGTTCCTTTGACTGACTTCTAGGGTTTAGGGTTTAGGGTTTAGGGTTGGGATGTTCCCCCTTTATACTAACAGTCCTCAATAAGGATTATAATAGCGGGTACTATGATCCCTACTGAGGACTGTCAGTATAAGAGGGAACATCCAATACTTTGAAAACAAATGAGCTTTAGGCTTTCTTGGTTTTCTATTTGGCATAGGAAGAATAAGATTTAACCCTTTTTTGTTCCTTGGTCCTTGGAGAATCAATTAAGTTGAATGTTGAATGGACCCTTAACCCTGGGGACCACATGCACCCTAAAAGGGTTTATGGCTCATATACCCCCCAAATTCATATACCCCCCAAATTCGGATTATAGTAGTATAGGGTATATGACCCTTACGAGAGTTGGTGATCCACTTCTAAAATTCATGCACGGGGGTAGGTCATTCTATTTCCTTGGTTCATTGCGCCCCCTATAAGGTATGGCCGCCAAGCAGGGCTGGGATTTGCGGGGCGAGTGGCGGTCACTGAGGGAGCGGGCGTCGCCTTGCCTGGGCCCCGACGTAGGCCAAGAGCTCGGCGGGAACGGAAGTCGCAAGCTCAGCTCGACGCGCGGCGCAGGCGGGACCAGCCCGACAGGGGCTTCTTCGCGGCCTCTGCTTGTGCTTTTCTTGGGCGACTCCCTGGTGAGTGGCTTGGTAGCCCCTAAACCTAAAACCCTTTAGGCCCTATAAACCCTAAACCTAAAACCCTTTAGGCCCTAAACCCTATAAACCCTAAACCCTAAACCCTATAACCCCTAAACCCTTATAATATGGTTCCTGGGCTCCCAAGGTGGTGTCGGTGGCCAGGCCTCGGCCACGGAGACCCCCGCGCCGGCCGCGCTGCCGAGGCACGTCGCCGCCCACTTGGCCGAGCACATGGGCGAGGTGCAGGGTTTAGGGATCGGATCGGACTGCGTCAAAGTTCAGAGAACGTCGGCTAGGCACGCTTTGGCCTGACAAAAACATGCACTGTATAAATATATAATTAGGCTCACTCGTTGTGTGCTAGCTGCTGTAGCAAAACGCACTGCCAATCGAGGAGCGTGTTGTAGACAAACTCCTTCGTGGCCTTGCTGGCCGTAACAAATTCGTCGAGAAAAACCCTAATGGCCTTCTGAAAATCGGTCTTCTCAAGTTCCCGCAGATTGAGAGCCTCGTGACAGAGGTCTGGAGATACTGCAGCGCTGGAGTCAGGAACAGGCTGCAGAGGGCCAGGAAGGCGACAGGAAGGAAGTTGTTTGAAGTCCCTGGCACCGCCAGAGGTTCGTTGAAGCGCCGCTTGCTTTTTCTCGACAGCCCTGATCTCCTCTATCAGGACCGGCTTGGCAGCAGCAATGAGCGCCCAGCCACAGGTAGGACTGTCGTGCGACACATGTCTGAGAAGCCTGGAGCGGGACCAGAACTTGCATAGACAAACCCTGCACGTGTCGGCAGCGGTGTATCGCTCAACAAGTGGGCGGAGGTTGTGCTTAGCAAACCGGTGAGCCCTTACAGCGTGCACGCATGTGAAGCTGGCTTCACACTGGCCACAAGCAAATGGTTGCTCGTTGCAGTCTTTGTCTGCATCTGGTGCCCTCGCGGGATCGTTCTGGGCAACAAGGTAGGCCCGATAGTTCTTTTGTCCAACGACCATGAAGCCTTTCCTTATGGCAGCACGGAACCTACGCAAGCCTGCGGGACTTGCGTTGTAGACCAGCACAGGCGAATGAGGAAGTTGGGCCTCAGGAACGAGTGACGCGAGCCAGTTGAGGTCCTCCTGTGCCCGTGAAAGCCAGGCATTCGCACAGATCGCCGCCTCTGCCTGCAGGAGCTCCCAGAGACTGCTCTGCTGACCAGCAGCAATGAGGACAAGGTGGCGGAGACGGTCGAAGGCAAGCAGCTCAGTGGGGAGTGGAAAGCCTGTGGCCTGCGCGATCTTGACTGACGATGCGTACGTGCTTTCGCCAGTGTGTCGATTTTCCGGCAGCAGTGCTCTGAGGAGGGAGGCAACTCCATGTTCCCAGGCTTGGCTTTCAGCCTTGGTAAGTCGGCGCCATGTGGAGGCACCATGACTTGCTCTGCTTAAGCCGAGGCTGCGGAGCAGGATGGCTCGCGTGGAGAAGGGGGCATTTTGGTTCCGAAACACAGGTTTGGTGAGTGGCCCTACCGCACCCTTGGCATGCGCAACATTGGCTCGTATTGCAGGCATCGCAACCCCCTTTGCTGTGAGAACCGTGCCGAGATGTTTGTAGTGAAGCACACAGCGCAAACTGTGCTGCCCATCCAGGGCATGGAAAGCGGCCCTTCCAGCTCCCTCCTTGAAACAAGCTTGTTTTGCTGCGCGCGATCCAGGACCTTGGAAGCAAGTCAGCGCCTCAGTTTTACCAGCATCGTAATTCGGGCGCATCGCCCTCTTGACACATTCCTCGTGCAGGATTCGTGCGGAGTCAGCAACAGTTTGAACAAGACTGCTGTTACTACCTGCAGTGAGTGGAACAGCTATATCGTCCGCCCAAGTGGGCAGGGGACATTCTTGTCCAACTTGCTGAAGCCTGCCCCTTACCTCTTTCACAAGGTTGCTAGCAGCCAACGCGAACAACACGTCGGCTATTGCGTCGCCGGGTCGGCTTCCTGCGTGAGTGCACGTAAGCTTGTCTGAACCCGACATCGTAAAATATGTGCCAGAGAGTATGGTCTGGATGATGCGTTGCGTGTGCCTGGGAGCAGTGGCAAGGAGGTGTGCGTTTTGCGCGTAGTGCATAACCTCGTGCAGGGCAGCTGGCGGAACTCGTAACCGGTGCAGCACCCATGAGATGGAGCGGTCAGAAGGAGGGACATCTTCAGTGCTCTCGCGGTCGGTGGCGTGGTGCCCCCAGAAGGATTCACGAAGTAGCCTGTAGTAGGCAGCACTGAGGTCGAGGAAGATGACAGCACAAGGCTGCCCTCTCAGTTCTGCAAGTCGTCGCCAGGTGGCAAGGTAGTGGTGAAGGGCAACAGCTGAGGATTTGGGCCTGCATCCCTGCTGTAGCTGGTGAGAGTCTTCAGCAAGCACCTGACAGAGGTCCTTTCTTACGAGCCGGTGAAAGAACTTAGCAGCAGGATCAAAGAGCGCAATGCTTCTATAGTTGTTTGCGTCAGCAGGGCTACCTTTTTGTTTGAAAAAGGCGGAAAGCTGACAGCCGGCATATTGTATTGGCTCGCAGAGCCTGATGTGCGCCTTGAGGTATATGGGGAGCAGCGTTTTGGCTGCTTGCGCAGGACAGCTGCGCCAAATCGCTGCAGGCACGCCGGAAGGACCAGGAGCTTTGCCATCCGCAGCCTCTCGGATGACCCTTTCGAGCTCAAGGAGGGTGGGCAGGCGCGCAAGTTCGTAGCAATCGGCAGTATCCGTTTGAACGGAAGGTTGCCTGCCACAAAGTTCTTCAGGCTTGGCTAAACAGCCTCCTTCCTGTTCGGCAAAAACTTTTCTGTGTGTTTCCTGCCTCCTTTCGAAAGTGTCGGCTGGGAGCCCTGCTTCGTCCTTAAGGCAACGGGGAGGCCCTCTTGCCTTGTGAACAGTCTTGCCGGCAGGCCTGAAGACTTTGAGAGCGGCAAAAAGCTGTTTGGTGTCAGATTGATTTGCGGCATGTTCGAACTTTGCAGCAAGCCCATTTAGGTACTGAACTTTATCATCCTTCAGCATCCATTTCAACCATTTGCCCCACTCCGCAATGTGCCAGGCCCCATGGGAAATGCGTTGCTGAAGTGCATCAACTTGTTCTTGCCACCTGCTGACCTTGGCCTCAAGCTGGCTTACCTTGCGCGCTCCTTGCCAATTCCGAAAGCAAATGAGCTTGAGGAGGAAATTGCGCTGCTGCTTATCTCGGGCGACTTGTCTGCGGTACCATCGCCGCTGGTGTACTGCGTGCCATGTCTGTTCTGAGACGTATGGCTTGCGCTGCATTTTGGGCCGACGAACAGAGAAGCCATCGCGAATCTCAGAGTCCACCCTGTGCACATGTTCATGTATGTTGGTGCTCCAGGGTATCCGTGCAGCATGCTGGAGGATTTCATCAACTCCTACCCTGGACGTGCGGACTTCAGCAACGGTCCTGCAAGGAACGCGGGGGAAAGGAGGCCTCGGTCGATCCTGCGTCTTGGTGTACAGTTGGACAAGCACCGAGGTGGCAGTGTGGTCATCGGCAACACCACAACTGAAGTCAGGATGCATAGCTACGGAGCTGGTCTGTGATCTGAGGCTTTGTGGCACTGCAACATAGTCGATCCGGTGCTTGTATCCGGCAGTAGACGTCCAGGTGGCGACGTCATCATCCCTATTGTTGCACTGTCCATGTGTCCCTTGAAAGGAGCTGGGAAGGTAGAGGGAGTTCCTAGAGCAAAAGCTCCTTAGGAGCTGACCTCCTAACGTTTCTGCCTCTGCGGCATGCGGTCCAGTGGTGTTGTCGGTGAACTTCCCAACTCTGGCGTTGGCGTCGAAGAGGCAAAAAAGCGGAAGCTCGGGACAACTGCGAGCCTGAAGCAGGTCTTGCGTGCATTGCCACCAGTGTTCAATCTCTGCGTGCGGTCTTCCAGAGTGTGGAGCGTGTCCTACAAGGAGGTAACCTGACCAGATCTTATTTTTCAGGCGTGCAAGGAGGTGCCTATGAGAGGTGTGGAGCACGACAAGGTCAGCACTACAAACCGGACCAAGGGGTCCATCCCTAGCAACCCAAAGGGCACAACCGCCTTCACCATTTTCTGCTGCACTATTGCAGTATACCACATGTTGGTTCTGGCCCTGAGAAGCCTGCTTATGCCTGGTCTCTTGCAACCCGAGAAACGTTATGTTGTCCCGTAGCATCAGGGCTTGAAGGAGCGGCCCTTTATCTTTCAGTGTCTGGACATTGTATGTGGCGAAACTGGCATCAACGGCACTTTCGCGCGAGGCAGAATGCTTTTGGGGAAGCGGGACAAGTTGTGGTCTGGCTGAATCTGCAGCTTCGTAAGTGCCTGCGGCTAGTTGCTCAAGCTCCGGAAGCGAGGGGTTAGGGTGCAGGAGTCTCCAGGCCCAGGGAAGCATCTTGTGCTGAAGGAGACTCCAGATCTGAGGAGGCAGGCCGGTGCCTGTGCCAGTGCGTCTTGCGTGGTTGGCCAGGCGGTCTGCGGCCTCGTTGAAAACGTTGCCGCAATGTCCCTTTGTCCAGTGGATACTGGTGTGCGCACCTTTGGCTTCAAGCATTTGAAAGACAACACGCAGAAGAAGGCCTATCGTGCAGTCCTCGCCAGTGCCGGGCGGCGCGCTTTCACCTCTTGCAGCAGTAGCAACAGCATTGCAATCCGTCCAGATCTGAATGTGGATATTGCTTGGGACGCTTAAGGCCCAGAGCCCGGCAAGGAGGACTGGCGCTATTTCAGGCTCAATGTTGGATATGTCTGACTTACTGCAGAGATGTCGATCAAAGAAACAGGCAAGCGTGCCCCACGCGCACGCAGCAAATTGGGTCTGCAGTCCAGGGGCAGCCTCGGCTAGTATCAGTGCCCATCCTGGAGCTTGCTGAGATTTGTGCGAACCATCCGTGAAAATGTTAAAGCTGCTGCCGGCGCGGGCGAACGGAGGGCATCCAGACATGCATCCCGGAAGTGCGCATGGTGGCTGACTCTGCCAAAAGCTATCCCACCCCTCCGCGACCTTCCACAGCAGGCGACGAATCACACAAAGATCCTGATTCAGGCTGGGGGCAGGGACAAGTTCAGTGAGCCTGATTGTGGCTTCAGGCCCATGTGTGTTCTTATTACGGTCAATGGGAGTAAGGTCAACTGCATTAGAAGGCCAAGCTGGGGGCGACGAGGAAACGCCCCTGTCAGGCACTGTGGCATGACCTGGAACTGAAACTGAGACAATGTGCACAGGTTCGCCACTTGAGAGCGATATGCCTGGGGCCTCTGCGCCTGGCAGACCTGGGACCTTGTGCACCTGTTTGCCACTCAGAGCCGATGCGCCTGGGACTTTATGCACCTGTTCGCCACTGAGGCGGCATGCGCCTGGGGCCTCGGGCCATGTGCCTGGGGCCTCGTCTGGAACCTTGTGCACCTGTTCGCAATTCGGTAGCGATGCGCCTTGGACCTTATGCACCTGTTCGCAACTCAGCGATGCGCCTGGGGCCTCGTGCACCTGCTCGCCTGCGCCTACAACCTCTAAACCTGGCAAACCTGCGGCCTTGTGCACCTGCCTGCCACTCATGGGCGATGCGCCTGAGACCTTATGCACCTGATTGCCACTCACGGGCAATGGGGCCTCGTGTATGTGTTCGCCAGTCAGGGGCGACGCCTCTAAACCTCGAAGCGATGCAACTGAGGACTCGCGCACCTGTTTGCCTGCACCTGCAACCTTTAAACCTGGCACGCCTAGGACACGCTTCAGGGGTCCGATGCCCTGAGCTGCGACCGGGGGGAGTGCACCTGTTGGCAGACCTGCTTCACCTGGCACGCCTGGGACATGCTCCAAGGGTCCGATGCCCTGAGCTGCGACCGGGAAGAGTGCGCCTGTTGGCAGTCCTGCTTCACCTGGCACGCCTGGGACATGCTCCAAGGGTCCGATGCCCTGAGCTGCGACCGAGAGGAATGCACCTGTTGGCAGACCTGCTTCACCTGGCACGCCTGGGACATGCTCCAAGGGTCCGATGCCCTGAGCTGCGACGGGGGGGAATGCACCTGTTGGCGGACCTGCTTTACCTGGCAAACCTGGGACATGCTCCAAGGGTCCGATGCCCTGAGCAGCGACCGGGAAGAGTGCACCTTTTGGCAGACCTGCTTCACCTGGCACGCCTGGGACATGCTCCAAGAAGGGTCCGATGCCCTGAGCTGCGATCGGGGGGAGTGCACCTGTTGGCAGACCTGCTTCACCTGGCACGCCTGGGACATGCTCCAAGGGTCCGATGCCCTGAGCTGCGACCGGGAAGAGTGCACCTGTTGGCAGACCTGCTTCACCTGGCACGCCTGGGACATGCTGCAAGGGTTCGATGCCCTGAGCTGCGACCGAGAGGAATGCACCAGTTGGCAGACCTGCTTCACCTGGCAAGCCTGGGACTTGCTCCTTGGGTCCGATGCCCTGAGCTGCGATGGGGGGGAATGCACCTGTTGGTGGACCTGCTTCACCTGGCAAACCTGGGACATGCTCCAAGGGTCCGATGCCCTGAGCCGACGGGGGGGAATGCACCTGTTGGCGGACCTGCTTCACCTGGCACGCCTGGGACATGCTCCAAGGGTCCGATGCCCTGAGCTGCAACCGGGAAGAGTGCACCTGTTGGCAGACCTGCTTCACCTGGCACGCCTGGGACATGCTCCAAGGGCCCGATGCCCTGAGCTGCGACTGGGGGGAATGCACCAGTTGGCAGACCTGCTTTACCTGGCACGCCTGGGACATGCTCCAAGGGTCCGATGCCCTGAGCAGCGACGGGGGGGAATGCACCTGTTGGCGGACCTGCTTCACCTGGCAATTCTGGAGCCTTGTGCATCTGTTTGCCACTCAGGCGCGACGCAACCTCTGAACCTGCAACCTTGTGCACCTGTTCGGCACTCGGGGGCGATGCGCCTGGGACCTTATGCACCTGTTCTCCGCTCAGCGAAAATTCACCTGGCGCCTCTCGCGCCTGTTCGCCACGCAGGGGGGATGCGCCTGCAACCTCTGAACATGGCGAGCCTGGGACCTTGTGCACCTGTTCGCCGCTTGGGGGCGAAGCAACCTCCAAACCTGGCAGACCTGGAACCTTGTGCACCTGTTCGCCACTCAAGGGCGACGCGCCTGGAGCCTTGTACACCTGTTCGCCACTCACAAGCAGAGTACCAGGGGCCTCGTGCACCTGTTCGCCACTCGAAGCAGCTTTGCGCGCCTGTTCGTCAACTGGGGACGATGCGCCTGGGACCTTGTGCACCTGTTTGCCACTGAGGGGTGATGCGTGTGGGGCCTCGTGCACCTGTTCGCCACTCAGGGGCGATGCACCTGCGGTCTCGTGGAGCTGTTCAACTGGAGCCTTTGAAACCTGCATGTCACAAGGGGGCAATGCACCTGGGACGTCTGGGCCTGCGGAACAACCTGGCAGCCTGTGTGTCTTGCGCGCAAGCGCTGCACCAAGGACCCGGGAACCTAGGGCCTCGCGCACTTGTTCGCCACTCAAGGCGATGCGTGTGGGGCTTCCCGTCCTGGACGACCTGGAACTTTGTGCACCTGTTCGCCATTTAGACCTTGGGTCTTTGGACCACGAGCGCAACTCACGGGCGACGCATCTAGGAATGTTGGCAGAGGCTTCGGCTGAAGCAACGAGGCGCACGCTGGCAGCATGGTTGCCGGTAGGCCTGCGTATTGTTTTAAGGTCCTTAGGGGAGGGAACCCAAAGGGAGGGAGGAGGGGACCTAGAGGCAGATTGCAGGACAGTCCTGGCGAGGCTTGACAGGGAACCCTCCTCAGGCCAGGATTGGGACGCATGCCAATGGCTGGGCCAAGTCAATGAAGCCTGCGCAGGGCGCGATGTCTGGGCGCCAGCATGGCCGACATTGGGATGTGAAATGTTAGGAGCCCACTCAGCATGGGGCCCAGGCTTAGGCAAACAATGCAGGAACTTCCTCATTATACTCAGAACATGTCTGCGGTACTCGAGTAGACCTTCACCCTGTACTGCTTCTACAAAACTGACCTTCCTCGGCAACAAGGCGCCGAATGTACAAAGGCAAGAAAGAGACTGTACACGAGAGCTTACTGCGGCCTCACTAACAGCATCGACGTAGGCGAGCTGGGGGCTGTAGTTGTCTTCAGTGTATCTGGGCACCGGCCAATCCGCTATGCGTTCATCACTCCAGCTGTGGGTGCCACATAGGACATCACACCGCATTTGAGTGGCCAGTAGCCTTGCGCGTAGCACGTCCACATAGTCGTCCTCGAGACAAACACTATGGGCGGCAAGTAGCCTGAGGGGTCCCGACCGGCTCGTCCTCAGGCCTTTTGAAAATTCTGGGCACGGGCAGCTGCAGCAGCATTCTCTGTCGATTGTGATGCGGTAGCTCCAGGCTGTGCTGGTTTCTGCGTCTCTGGCGAATCTACAGTCAGATCCACAATACCTTCTCCAGTACGCTTGGATCCTCGTCGCGGCGTGCGCTCCCGCACCATCGCTCCAGCTTCTGCTGCATCCTTGACTTCCTGGAGGGCTGCCTGCAGTCGCTGATGGCTTTGAGCAAGTTCTGCTCTGCGGGCCATTGCCTTTGCATCTGTTTCTGCAGCAGCTGCGATTGTCATGTCCTGGTCGGAGATCTCCTCCTCCGAGCCACCCTCCTCGTTCTTGCTGTGGTTCTTGTTGTGGGCAGCAGCTTCGAGCTCTCTCGATGCTTCTACCAACTGCGTAGTCCATTCTTGCTCCCTCTGATCCATATCTGTCAGAGCTTGTTCTCGCTGCGCAAATTGCAAGGTCAGTGTCTCCATAAGTTCTTGAGTGTAGGTACACCAAGAGGACTCGAAACAGGCTCGCTCTTGTTGCAGGTCGGCCAGCTGTCTGCGAGCCTCTCCTCGCTTGCTGACTAGCTTGTGTAGATACTTCGCGTCTTTCTGTGCCGAAGCCTTTTCGACTTGCAAAACCATGCTTCGCAGGTTTTCCGGCAACTCTTCTTTGTTGACGTGCTGGATCAGTGCTTGAAGCAGCCTCTTGTCCTCCGTAGGAGCAGCGGGTTGGCTTGACGCTCCTGCTTCCTTGGGGCTCGCAAACTCTTTGGCTTGCGGTGGACGAGGGAGTTGTTGAACCTTTGGCGCAGTCTGCTCCTCTGCAAATCTGCCTGCTTTGGCCTTGCCCTTGCCCTTCCCTTTGTCTCCACCAGTCTGAGAATGGTCTTTGGGCTTTCTTGTTCTTGGCGATCTTCTTCTCGGCGAAGTCGTCCTCCAAGCATTCTTCTGCCAGGGAGCTGGTGGCTGTCCCCATCCATCTCGGGGATCTCTGTCCGTATACGTGGGCGCTGAGCCGCCCCAAGGTGCCCCACACCCCGGGCAAAACCATGCCGTAGCTTTGTTCGTCTGTCCACAACCACATCGCCAGCTTTGTGTGTTGGTCTGTTTGTATGATGCCATCAGCTTTTCGACTTGTTTCGGCAAAGTACTTGCCGAGTGGTGTTGTCTTAGGAGTCGTATGGCTTCCGTAGTCTGTCCCGGAACAATTGGCGAGAGACCGGTCAGCACTGTACGGAGGTGTGTGCGTGCCACTGTCCGTTTGCGGCGGGCTCGCCTGTGTGCGGCACTTTCTGGAAGATGTCGCACCGTGTTGACACTCAGTGGCAAACGCCCAAAGTGTGAAAAGCCAGCGCAAGCTTGTTCGCATAGAACTGGAAAAAGAAACCACGGTATTTGCAGCCACGCAGTTGTTGCCAAGGGGGAACAGCTGCAGGTCCTGTCGGCCGGGGCAGCGACAGCAAAAAACCAGGTCTGAAGTGTCCCTGTCCACCACTCAGATGGCTCACAGGGGTTAGGGTAACTGTGGGCAGAAAAACCAGAGAACTGGCTCGGACGCACGCTAGTCGCACGGGCGGACACTAGCGGCAGTCGCGGGCAGCAGCCTCGCTTAGGGTTGGGGCGGCAGGGGTGGACCTATAGCAAGCTACAGGAAACTACACCACTGCAAGCCACAACGCCTAGGGTTTAGGGTTTAGGGTTTAGGGTTTAGGGTTTAGGGTTTAGGGTTTAGGGTTTAGGGTTTAGGGTTTAGGGTTCAAAGGGACGAGAGCAAGGTGCGCTGGGCCTCCGTCGGCATCACCGGGGCGGATGTCGAGCACTTGGCCCGGGAGGGCTTGCCAAGGCTCCGGCTGCGTGCCGCGGAGGTGGTCTCCTCCCTCGTGCACTCCTCGTGCTCGACGCCCCGACTGGTGGCTTAGTTGCTGAGTGAGTACACTTTACACCTTTTTTGGGATACTCTAATCCCCTGCAAAACTGAAAGTGTACACTTTCTTGGGGCTTATGAACTCAGCAACTATAAGGTGGTGGTTCTTGTGGTGGGCGCCAACGATCTGCGGGGGCTGCGGCTCAGCTACCGACTGAGGCTCCGGCAGCTAGTCCACGCCATGTCTGCCCTCCACGTCGACGTGGAGGGCATCTTCCTCCCCGCGGTGGCCTTGGCCGACGCACCCATGCTGCAGCGCTACCCGCTGCGACTGTTCCTGGCGCCGCTGTGCTTCTTGTGGGAGCGCGAGAAGCAGAAGGCCATCTCCTGGTGCCATGGAACCTTGGTAGCCCAGTGGTACCCTTTTCCCTTTATTCTATTTTATATTTATTTAAATATTTTTTTTTTTTTGGGGGGGGTTTTGTTTTGGGTTCCCTTATAAAAGCAACCAAGCTTAAAAGGGTGTCCTTCTTATGATATGGTTACTGGGCTGCCCAGGAGCGGAAGTTCTGCCCTTCCCCACACCCCCGGAGGGCACCGAGGCCGATGCGTTCTTCTCGGCCGATCGGATGCACCCAAGCCCTGTGGGCTACTTTGCTGCTGACCCTAAACCCTAAACCCTAAACCCTAAACCCTAAACCCTAAACCCTAAACCCTAAACCCTAAACCCTAAACCCTAAACCCTAAACCCTAAACCCTTTTTTTGCCCATTTTCTTGTTCGGTTCTAGGATCCTCCAGGTTCCCCGTAAGCCACAACCAAATATCAGCAACCCCAAAAGGCTACCCCCAAAACAATAAACCCCAAGAAGCCCTAGAACCCCTTGAAACAGCCCAAAACCTTAAAACCTCAAACCTCAACCCCCCAAAAGCCCTAAAACCCTAAAGCCCCAAACCCCAAGCCCTTGCTATAGTCTTGGCTACCCCCAACACACGAAACCCCTACAACCCCAAAACCCCAAAAAAAGCCTAAACCCTAAACCCTAAACCCTAAACCCTAAACCCTAAACCCTAAACCCTAAACCCTAAACCCTAAACCCTAAACCCTAAATGGCTGGACAAACTAAGGCTATGAGTGGTGGGCCAAGGCTCTGGCGGAGCAGATCCGCAGCCGCCTCGAGACGCGAGCCGGGCAAGCGGGCGGCTGCCGTCTGGATCATCCTACCGGGGTTTAGGGTTTGGGGTTTCGGATTTCGGGTTTAGGGTTTGGGGTTTAGGGTTTGGGGTTTAGAGTTTAGGGTTTGGGTCTGGGGTTTAGGGTTCGGGTTTGGGGTTTGGGGTTTAGGGTTTGGGGTTTGGGGTTTAGGGTTTGGGGTCTCAGTGACGTAGGGAATGAGGGAATTAGGTGCTTGTTTTTCCCCCTCTACTCTTGAGAAGCTAGGTGTTGCATCATCATGACTTAAACTCTGCGTAAGCAAACTGTTGCTAGAAAGACACTTATATCGGACGTCTAATGTTATCATGCACAAGTGTTTCTGGTCTAAACGGAGAAGAGTCCCATCTGTGCTTTGCCCCCTGTGCATCCAGAATTCGGATCTGCTGGCCGGTTTAGGGGTTTAGGGTTTAGGGTGGTTTAGGGTTTAGGGTTTAGGGTTTAGGGTTTAGGGTTCAGGGTTTAGGGTTTAGGGTTTAGGGTTTAGGGTGGTTTAGGGTTTAGGGTTTAAGGTCAGCATTTGCCGAGTCGCAGTGCATGTACATGCGATCCGGAAAGGGAGACCGTCGCTCGATCCGAGCCTCTCTCTTTGAGTCCCCTTCTTGGAGGTTCATGGTACATACCAACCCAATCATAACGGTACTTATAACCCAACTACAACCATATGAGTGCACTCAAGGGACTTATAAGTGGGTGAGAAGTACAGATATAAGTGGTTAATAGGTACCACGAACCTCCAAGTTTGTCTCAGCGCGGCGCATCCTCCCAAGGGCCCGCTGGGGAGGAGGAATTTTGCTGGCGCTGCAAACCTCGTAGGCCCCCCCAATTGGAGCTCAATCTTGCGAAGCTCTGTGCTGCTCTTGCACAGGATCGTGGAGTCCTAAACCCTAAACCCTAAACCCTAAACCCTAAACCCTAAACCCTAAGTCCCAGACAAGGGAGCTGCAACTGGGGGGGTCCTGGGCCGGAATTGGGCTGCCAAAGAAAGCTGTGGAACGCCATCGCCAGGCAGCTGAAGGGTGCATCGGCCTCTGAGGGAAAGAAGACAGGGTTTAGGGTTTAGGGTTTAGGGTTTAGGGTTTAGGGTTTAGGGTTTAGGGTTTAGGGTTTAGGGTTTAGGGTTTAGGGTTTAGGGTCTCTGGGGTTTGAAGTTTAGGGTCGACAAGGCCTGGGGTTTAGGGTTTAGGGTTTAGGGTTTAGGGTTTAGGGTTTAGGGTTTAGGGTTTAGGGTCTACAGGGTTTGACAGCTCCCCTGCCGCGGATCGCGTTGGACCTTAGAACCTGCTTGGTACCCTAAACCCTAAACGCTAAACCCTAAACCCTAAACCCTAAACCCTAAATTTAAGGTAAAGGGACTTTAACGGGAACCCCGAACACGGAACCCCAAGAACGCAGTCGGAATGTAAAGGGAATATAAGGACTCTGCTAGGTCTATTCCGATTACATTCCTACTACATTTGGGGGTTCCCTTTCGGATCCCTTTACAGAAGCCAGTACAGGAACTAGCCACACCGTATAAATCCCCTACTCGACCTCGGAATGCCCTACATCCCCTGTAGATCAACCCAAGTTTGTTGGCAGCTGCTGTGAAGCCCCTTCTTGGCTTCTTTGGGCACCTACAAAACGAGATTTTGCCGTTCAGGGTTTAGGGTTTAGGGTTTAGGGTTTAGGGTTTAGGGTTTAGGGTTTAGGGTTTAGGGTTTAGGATTAGGGTTTAGGATTAGGGTTTAGGTGTTTTTCCTTTGCTTTGGGACATCTAGGGCAATCAGTCCTCCGCCCTGGCCTCAGCTGCCGCCAGGCATCAGCGCCCTTCCCTGCGCCGGCAGAGGAACCGACGAAGGCGGATGGCACTTTTGAAGGTTTAGGGTTTAGGGTTTAGGGTTTAAGGGTTTAAGGGTTTAAGGGTTTAAGGGTTTAGGGTGTAGGGTTTAGGGAAATCTTGAGGTGAAGATTTAGGGTTAGGGTTTGTGGTTTCGGACCAAGCTGTTTAGTTGCTGCTTCCATCTTTGGCCGAACCCTGATCCCTAAACCCTCAACAGGCGAGGCCCGAAATCCTAAGCTGCAATGCTGAAGGCTTTTAGCATAGGCTAGCTCGGACACTTGAGCCTTATGTCCTTAGCCTGCGGCTCAGAAATCAACATCTCAGCGCATTCCGCGGCAGCTGCACATCTTCATCCTAAACCCTAAACCCTAAACCCTAAATCCTAAACCCTGAACCCTGAACCCTGAACCCTAAACCCTACTTTAGGGCGAACATCCTAAGCCCTAAACCATTGCTAAACCCCAACCCCAAACCCCCCAAACCCTACACCCTATCGAGCTGCCGAAGCTTATTATAGTCCCTTCCCCCTAGTATTACCCTCCCTCTACCTCCATATAATCCTATGATAGAACTATAATCCCTAAACCCTAAAACCTAAACCCTAAACCCTCATGGGGGGGGGGGGGGGGGGCATTTAATAAATTAGGGGGTAGGAGGGCTTTGATATTTGGAGGGAACTTTTTTGGACATGGCCCAGCTCTGAGCTCCAATGCCCTCCCCCCCCCGGCCCAATCGCAGAATCGTAGCCGATTGAGGTTTAGGGTTTAGGGTTTAGGGTTTGGGGTTTTGGGTTTAGGGTTTAGGGTTTAGGGTTCAGGCCTAGTAGGTTAGCTCATTCGAAGACCCCCACATCGGTGATTTCAGGATTCGAAGCCCATGTGAATGAACTATGCAGACACTGTACCCCTTTTGTACCCCAGATAGAATCGATCCCCTTAAAGGAACCCCCCCAAGAAGATACCCCTACTTTCGGAAACCCCCAAATAGAGCCGTGAAGCCAAAACCCCTAATCCCTAAATGGGGGTTTCCGGAATTCGGGGTACCTTACCGGGGATCCTACTATTTGGGGTCCATTTAGGGGTCCCTTATTATCGTGCGCCCGGAAATCCTGCGAGGCGGGGGGTGCCGCGGAAGCCCCCCGCGAAGAACTGCGAGGTGGGGGAGTCTAGGAGGGTCCATGGCCCCTCAATCGGGGGGAAGTGTTAGGGCTTAGGGTTTAGGGTTTGGGGTTTAGGGTTACGGCATGGGTAGTTAAAAGTGGTGGTATATAGACATACTTGGCCAAAGAGGATTCATTCCTGAATTGGAGGGTACTGGGGCCAAAGCAAAAAAAGTCTGAACCCGAAAGCCCAAAATGCCAAAAACAAACGCGCTACGGCCCGTGGAGCACACAAACGCCACCACTTCGTACACCCTGCCCTTCCAGTTCTTGCACATCTCCCCCCTAAGATCATGGCCCCCCAGTAGCCTTAATCATGGGGGGAAACTAGGGGGAGAAGGGGGTAGTAGGGGAACCTGTTATAAGATGCTCTCAAACCCCGTACACAATGAAAGCATGTCAACGTCGCGAAGGCATGTCTGTTTTCAGCCTGTGGAATGAACAAAGGTGTATACACTTGATTTGCATCTTTAAATGAAGCTTACCGGAGATTGGGGGGCTGGGCGGGTCAGGGAGGGTCAGCAAGCGCCATCATATGGCTTTACATGCTTCGGGATTCTTATGATGAACTAACTCAGGGATAGAAGAACCTAAGCTCTAAACCCTGCGCCCTGAACTCACCAATGCACCTGGTAGCCTAGCGGTATCCTTTAGCCTTTTTGGTTGGCTCCAGGTTCGCCAAAAAAAGGGCCCTAAACCCGAAACCCCCAAAAACGGTCCGCTTGTTGTAAATATTGGCTGCTGGGGCTTCCAAACCCTAAAGCCGAAACCCTAAACCCTAAACCCTAAACCCTAAACCCTAAACCCTAAACCCTAAACCCTAAACCCTAAACCTTCAGATAGGCCCGACGCGGGGTAGTTCCCAGGCGCTGCTGCGATGGGGTCCAAGAAGCGAGCTGCCAAGGCTGGATGCCCCACCCTGGAGCCTAAACCCTAAATTCCTGAAACCCTGAGCGCCTGAAACCCTCAAATCGGTTTAGGGTTTAGGCCTTCTAGAAACCCTAGCAGCCCAAGCTCCACAATCAGGGTTTGGAGTTTTGGGTTTAAGGTTTAGGGTTTAGGGGATTCCTTATAGAGGCCCAAGTGACCCTGCTTTGAGGGGTTTCCGGCTAAGGCGTATACTTTCGTTCGCGGTATGTTCCCGAATGAATTGGAAATTCGCCGCATTGTTCCAATATGAGCCCTAAAAGCCTGGACCCTAAGCCATCATCCTAAACCCTAAACCCTAACCCCTAAACCCTAAACCCTAAACCCTAAACCCATGTTTAGGGGTTACAACGGCTATCGTTGGGGCAGTTCGGGTCTCATCTGGGGCTTAGAACACCTGGGCCTCTGCGCAGCGGGGCAGGAAGTGGTGAAGGAGGCGCCAAAGAAGAAGCAGAAGAAGGAGGCCGTGGGGTTTAGGGGGGTTTTAGGGGGGAGTTTGGGGGAGTTAGGGGGTTTAGGGGGAGATAGGGGGGAGTTAGGGGGAGTTAGGGGGAGTTAGGGGTTCGGGGTTTAGGGGTTTGAGGGTTTAGGGATTGGGGTTCAGGGGCTTGCGTTTTGGGATGTAGTTTCGGGGCTTGGGGTTCATTGGTTTAGGGGTTTAGGCTGCTCACCTCAGGCTTTGGGTCTGGGGGAGAGAGCTTGAGGGCACCAAGATTCCGTTGTCAGAGAAGCAACCCTAAACCCTAAACCCTAAGCCCTAAACCCTAAACCCTAAACCCTAAACCCTAAACCCTAAACTCCCTCAAGCCCTCAGACCCTGAAACCGTCACCGACTTCAGGGCTGCAGTTCTACTTGTCCTGCATCTGTTTAGGGTTTTGGGTTTAGGATTTAGGGTTTAGGGTTTAGGGTTTTGCGTTTAGGATTTAGGGTTTAGGGTTTTGGGTTTAGGATTTAGGGTTGAGGGTTTAGTAATTAGGGTTTTGGGTTTAGGAGTTCGGGGGCTTTGGGTCTCCTGAAGCCAAAGGCTCTTGAGGGTTAGGCAAAGGTGCTCCCCTTACTCTTGCCGTTTTTTTCGCAGGGATTCCAAGAAGGCAATCCTCAATACCATAAGTCCTACAGCCCGGCAAGGGCTTGGGAGGGCAGAAAGCCCAGGACCTGAGGCTCAAAGAGTCTCATGAGGGTTTAGTTAGGGCTCAGGGTTCAGGGTTTAGGGTTTAGGGTTTAGGGTTTAGGGTTCAGGGTTCAGGGTTTAGGGTTTAGGGTTTAGGGTTTAGGGCTTCCGGCTTAGGGCTTCAGGTTTAGGGCTCCAGCAACTGGAGTTGGGGAGGCTGTCACGCGCAGCCTCAGTGCCTTCTTTGCCCATGCAGAGCCTGCCAAGGACGTGACTTCTGGGGGTTGAGGGTTTTGGGTTTAGGGTTCAGGGTCCTAAGCCCTAAACCCCTAAACCCCTAAGCCCGAAACAAACCCCTAAGCCCTAAAGCCCTAAGCCCTAAGCCGCCTAAGTCTGGGCTTTTGGGGTCGGGCCGTCGAAGGTGCGACGGAGGGACTCCCCCATGTCAAGTCTGTGAAGCTGGGTTTAGCGTTTAGGGTTTAGGGTTTAGGGTTTAGGGTTTGTGAAGCTGGGCTTATAGTCGGCTTCAGGGGCATAAAACCCAACGTACTGGCCCTAAACCACGGCGTGCTGCGGACTCTTACAAGGGCTCGAGGCTGCATGGTCATGGGTTCCGGGTGCAACCGCGCCGCCATGACCTCGACGCTAGACAGCTCGGAGGATCCTCCGGCAGCCTTTTTGGTTGATTCTTCGGGCTTTTGGCCTGGACATGAAGTCAGCAGCTGCGGCGACAGGGTTGCTGTTAAGGAACTCAATATATGTGAGAGATATACAGTCAACAATGGGGTTTATACGTCTTGTGGAATCTTGAGACTCAAGTTTTTTGAGCAGCAAAACCAGGCGAAGAGGTCACGGACGAGGAAATCCAGTGGATGCTGTCCCAGCGCCCACTGGATCCCAGCAAAGTTACTCCGGAGAGATTAGCCCTGGACTACGGCGAGCAGGAATCACGGGCGATGCTCACGGCCTTCGAAGAGAGCAAGGTGGCACGCCTCGAAATTCCATGGCGCAGCCTTGTATGTACAGCCTCAATAACTTAAAACACTCTCCCCTGGGCCCCTTCTCACCCCTGTAATGGTACCAGAACCCGCCCCTCCCCCGTCCCATTCTGCCTCGATGTTACCCCACTTTGAACGCACTTCACTAAACCCTAAACCCTAAACCCTAAACCCTAAACCCTAAACCCTAAAACCCTAAAACCCTAAAACCCTAAACCCTAAACCCTAAAATTCCAGGTCTCACACCTGATCCCGGTCTTGCGCTGGCCTGGCGTGGGCACGCGCTGGCGGGCATTTCTCAGGTGGCTGGGGGAGCAACCGGAGCCGACACGAAGCCCCGAGGACGCTCTCGCCGGCTTTGCCCGTGCCTCAACCACATATAAGTCGCCAGTTCTCAAAATTGTACTACCCTAAAGATCCCTGTACCTATTTAGTAGAAACTTGGGCTTTAAAGCGGTTCGCATGTAGCAGCTTTAGGGCGCAACTATCTTCTACATAGGTGCATGGACCCTTAGGGCTGATGGACGCCTACGAAGTAGATGTAGATTCAACGACGGTCTTGCCTTCCCCCCGAAGAGGAATAGCCTACTCTTCAAAGATCGGGCTATTGTTCCCGAACTTAAGTTATAAACCCGAAACCCCTCGCCTCAGCCCTCTTCAAGGGTGCCCTTAAGGCGTGTTGGTCTCCGAGGTTCTCTCGGGCGCGTAACGACCTACCGCGCCCTCTCGCTGGATGCTGCTGGGCTCCGCCGCATCATCGAGGCCGAGAGTGGATAGTGGATAGGGTGGGTGTAGGGTGCAGTGTTAAGGGTTTAGAGTCTAGGGTCCAGGGTTTGGGGTTCCGGGTTCCTGGGTTCGGGGTTCGTAGTCTAGACGTTTAGGGTTTAGGGTTTAGGGTTTAAGGTTTAGGTTTAGAGGGTTTACAGGATTTACAGGCTCTCGGCCTCTCCCTGCAATCATTGGGCCCTTAACACGGGCTCTCCGAGTCTGAGGACGGGGTGACTGCTAGAGCTTAGCACTGCTGGAAGCAGTTGGGGCTTCGGTGGCAGCTCAAAGCTTCCCAAACCCTGTAAACCCTGTAAACCCTATAAACCCTAAAAACCCTAAAAACCCTAAAAACCCTAAAAACCCTAAAAACCCTAAACCCTAAACCCTAAACCAAGCAGTCCACACCCTAAGGCTCCCCCCTCAACGGCACCAGGCCAAGGAGATCTTCCCCCGAGGCCAGTTGGACGTGACGGCCGAGGAGCTGAGGCGAGTGGTTGAGGAGCATGGAGTGGTGAAGGTTGTCGTGGCAAGGCAGGACGAATCCTTCGGTTCTGAGATGCTGGTAGCCTTGACATTTTCAGGATACTCTCAACACCCTTGTTAAACAAAGAGGTGAACCTTAGCCAGGCACAACTTCTAATGTTCGTGGATGGGTCTAGTGTTCCCTATCGTCTCCTTAGCAATTCTGCTGCTTTCATCTAAATGAAGCCTAAACGAATATATTCAAAGTCAGGTTTGTAGGGTTTAGGGTTTAGGGTTTAGGGTTTAGGGTTTAGGGTTTAGGGTTTAGGGTTTAGGGGGAGCAATGGTTCCAGTGGTCCCCAGGCTATACATCGCACATCTCAAGCGCCTCATTGGACACTCGGCAGCCCAGTGGTGCCCTTTTTGCCCCGTTCTTTCTGGGGTTGTAGGTGCAGAGCTGCGGTTTAGGGTTTAGGGTTTAGGGTTTAGGGTTTAGGGTTTAGGGTTTAGGGTTTATAGGGTTTATAGGGTTTATAGGGTTTATAGGGTTTATAGGGTTTAGGGTTTAAGGTTTAGTAAGCCCTATACCCTAAACCCCTTCTAAAGTAGCCAACTCCAAAAAGGGTACCATGTGAAGCTTATGATGCTATGGCTACTGGGACCCTAAACCCTTAACCCTAAACCCTAAACCCTAAAATGGACCCAAAACCAAGGCCATGATCCTTCGGTATCGCTGCACGATGACTGGCAGACCACTTCGTGCATAGCATCTGGCTTCCTGGCAGCCCTATGTCACCCTTGTGTCCTTTTGGGTTCGTGTTTAGGGTTTTGGGTTTAGGGTTAGGTGTGACGGTTTCCCTTACACAGAAACTAACCTCAAAAGATGTACCCTTGTTTTTTGCTTGTGCTTTTCTGGGCTACCAAGGCTACACGGGGGCCGACAAACGGGTGTACTTGTTCGAGGTGTCCGTTCCCATCGTGGTGCCTAAGCCGAAATCATCACAACAGCCGGTACCCTCAACAACCCCCCTAAACCCTAAACCCTAAACCCTATAGTACCAGCCTTACAGTACAGCGCTTCGCAAATAAAGGGTACGCAGGCCACGATTATGGGTAGTTTGAGGGCTTCAGGAACTTGAAGCCTCATCCGAAGCGTGTATGCAAGATTCCGGCAGCATATTGCCCCATCCCCAAGCACTCGCTACCTCGCTCTAGGGCTTCCTAATGTGTATCCCTCTTATGTGGAGTCCTTCTGGGGCTCCCGTCATCAGAGGTTACGATGCGCTTCCAGTGAATTTGTTTCACCAAAACTGTACACTGGGTAGCTCAGTGGTACCCATTTGCCTTTTTTTTGTTGGGGGGGGGGGGGGGGGGGGGGGAGGGTCCTTTATAAACGCAACTATAACGCCCAAAAGGCTGCCCTTATTGCAACATGGTTACTGGGCTGCCCAGCATCAGGCCTGAACCCTGCTTTCCTGCAAACCCTAAACCCTTCAACCCTAAACCCTAAACCCTAAACCCTAAACCCTAAACCCTAAACCCTAAACCCTAAACCCTAAACCCTAAACTAATCCCTAAACCCTAAACCCCCCCCCCCCCCCCCGCTTTAAACCCCACGTTGAGGAGTCCCTCGGCCTACGCCTCTCTGAAGTGGAGGTGAACGCCACACCCATCCTGGGGCCGCGGTATGGGCCATCGGGAACCCTGTTAGGGTTTAGGGTTTAGGGTTTAGGGATTATAGGGATTAGGGTTTAGGGTTTAGGGTATGGGGTATAGGGTCTTGGGCTGTACTTTAAAGACGTTTTGGGGATGCCTTGGGTCACTTGCACTGGGAGTCACGTAGCAGGCTCAGGGTTTAGGGCTTAGAGGCCAATGGCTTACCCCAGTGTCCGTGGATGTTGGAGAACAGGCAGGATTGACTCGACTGCCAAAGTTGCCAAAACATTTGGAGATACATTACAAGGCCATCTGAAAGAACAATCTCTTGTTGTCTTTGGGGGCTTGTGTCATTAGGATCACGAGAAGCATCGAAGGAGATGGCTGGTTTCGCTTCCCAGCGCCGGCCTTCCCCGACGGAGTGTACTTTGATCGCACCATCCAGCGGACGGAGCGGTATGGTTTGTACTCAGCTCCTTGGGCAGCCCAGTGGTGCCCTTTGCCCTTTCTTTTGGTTTTGGGTTCCCTTCTAAAGTAACCAAAAGGGGGTGCCCTTATGATAATATGGTCTCTGCGCCACCACCCTAAACCCTAAACCCTAAACCCTAAACCCTAAACCCTAAACCCTAAACCCTAAACCCTAAACCCTAAACCCTAAACCCTAAACCTAAACCCTAAACCCTAAACCAAGGTTCCCTTCTTGCACCAAAGGCTGCGCCGGCTGTGGATGTACCCGTCCGTTGCCGACATCGGCCTGGCCATTACCCCCTTTGCTCGGAGGCAGGCTACCATGCACAAGCGCCGGCCAGAGGGCTATGGCCCGCCCCCGTACACTGACTAGGGTTTAGGGTTTAGGGTTTAGGGTTTAGGGCTACGGCCCACCTCCCTACACCGAGGCGTAATATAGGCGGCCTGAAGAGCTAGCATAGGGTTTTGGGGGGGGGGGGGGGGGGGGGCTATTATAGTATATCTATGCAGGGACCGCATAAGAGATTACTATTATTCCGGCCCCTATATTGGTGTACAAAGCCTAAGTAGCCCTCCATGGCAGGGGAACCCAGAGCCATTGTACAGTGACATGGAGCTGCAGACGTTCCCGCGATGCCCAAACACTCATCCTTCCATGAAGGCTGCTAGACATAAGGGTTTAGGGTTTAGGGTAGACATAAGTCTGTCGGCTCACGCACGACAAGCCGATCAACATCTAGAATCTACCGTAAACACCACCCCTAAACCCAAAACTCTAAAACCTATAGCCCCCTGCACCAGGTCAGCCTTCAAGGTCCTCACCCTAAACCCTAAACCCTAAACCCTAAACCCTAGATAAACCCTCTCCCCAAGTATGAGGGAATGAGGTGCCCGGTAGCCCTAAACCCTGAACCCGAAACTCTACGCCCTGTAGAGTCCCTCAAAGGGCATATAGGGGGGGATATAGGGTTCATTCCCTACTAAGAACCCCCATCACTCGCACAGTGCCGTAGGGCTTAGGGTTTAGGGCGTTTCGGGTTTAGGGGATTAAGGGTTAGGGGCTTAATTAGGGGTTTAGGGCTTAGGGTTACAAAGCCAAGATGTCCGGTGTCGCCTCCCTCCCTTCTTCGACGGGGTGCGGTTCTCGACTAAAACCCCTTCACGCAAAAAGGGCCCTCCCCCGCCACAACTCATCAAACCAAGCCACGACTTCCAAAACCGGAACCCTCTCAAAGCCTGAAACCCTCAAACCCAAAGCCCCAAAACCCTACAGCCCTAAGCCTAAACCCCAAAGCCCTTAAACCCTAAGCCCTAAACCCTAAACCTAAACCGAAACCCCAACCCCCAAAACCCCTGAAGCCTGAAACCCCTGGTTCTTAGAAGGGAATGAGGGCACATAAGGGCCCTATATATACCCTTCAATGGATTATATAGGGTTTAGGGTTTAGGGTTTGTTGTTTTGGGTTTAGGGTTTAGGGTTTAGGGTTTAACAGGGTACTCATTCCCTCATTCCCTACTAAGAACCAGCCAGTGAAGCCTGAACCCGGGTCGCCCCGAGGAGAAGGAGCCGGAGTTGAAGGAGCCTGAGGAGTGCGAAGAGGCGCCCCTACATAAGAGTATACTGTAGGTTTAGGGTTTAGGGTTTAGGGTTTAGGGTTTAGGGTTTAGGGTTTAGGGTTTAGGGTTTAGGGTTTAGGGGATCATCCCAATGTAACACTATAGACAGCAATGTAACACCCTAAACACCCTAAGCACCCCACTTGAGGTTCGTCGATCAAGGATTCAGGCAAAGACCTGGCTGTGGTCTAAATAGGGTATGTCGCGCCTGTGTGTCACATACGTATGTCGCGCCCACTTATGACTTGTTTCATACGTAAGTCGCGAGGTTTGTCGCGGCTGTTTCGCGCGCGCGCGCTGTGTCTAAATGCCTACGTAGTCGAAGGTTGCAGTTCCAGGAAGGGGTTTGTCGCAAAGGCTTGTCGCCCAGGCTTGTCGCGGAGGTTTGTCGAGGACGCTGCTTGTCGCAATCAGAACGGCTTTGTTACAAACCGTATGTCGCGGAAAGACAGTCAGTTAAATACCCCGCACCCACCTGACCCCAGTGTAATGATGGTTTTGGGTTGTACAGGGTATATAAGGGGTATACAAGGGGTCCCCCTTTTCAGGGCCCATACTAAGGGACCATGTAACTACCCTAAGAATGTAGCAGTGCAACTATGTCATAGTGTACCACTACAAATTGGGATCGTCCCCCTTACACTAGCAGTCCTTAGTTGGATTATAATATGAGCGGTACTATATTCCCTTGTAAGGACTGCTAGTACAACGGGGAACATCCCAATGTAACACAAAAAACAGCTACACCCTAAACCCTAAACCCTAAGAATGTAGCCGTGTCATGATGTATGAGGCCCAAGTCTGCGAGGACACTGAGATCCTAGAGGGCGCCGAGATGCCTTGAGAGAGCCAAGTGGCAGGGTCGCACGGGTGGGTGGGGGTTGTTTAGGGTTTAGGGTTTAGGGTTTAGGGCTTAGGGCTTAGGGCTTAGGGCTTAGGGCTTAGGGCTTAGGGTTGGGATGGGGCTTAAGTAGGGCGGAGCTTAGGTTGACATGGTTGATCCTACCGAGGTTTGGGGCAGAGGTACCTTTATCCCTAAACCCGAAAGCCTTAGACCCCCTAAAGCGCAAAGCCCCTTAAAGCCCTTAAACCTTAAACCCCCTAAAGCTTAACGCCCCCAAACCCTAACCTAAACTCTAGGCCCTCAAAGCCTAAAACCCTAAATAAATCCTACCCTTAAACCCTAAAATCCCCTAAGCCCCAAACCCTAAACCCTAAAACCCCTAGGCCCTATAACCAACCCTAAACCTTAAAACCCTTAAACCCCCCTAAACCTTAAACCCCTGAACCCTCCCTAAAACCCCTAAGCCCGATAACCAACCCTAAACCTTCAAACCCTTAAAGCCCCTAAGCCTTAAACCCCTAAACCCCTAAATCCCCAAACCCCTAAACCCCTAAACCCCTAGAACCCCTAAACCCCTAGAACCCTAGAACCCCTAAACCCCTAAACCCTAAACCCTAAACCCTAAAACCCTAAAACCCTAAACCCTAAACCCTAAACCCTAAACCCTAAACCCTAAACCCTCACTTGGCCTCGAAGAGCGGGAGCGGCAAATTTGCCATTCACGGCACTGGGGTCAGGTCTTTGCCAGAATCCTTGATAGGTGAACCCTAAACCCTAAACCCTAAACCTAGAACCCTAAACCCTAAACCCTAGAACCCTAAACCCTAAACCCTAAGTGGGGCATTTGGGGTTTCAGGTTTTAGGGTGTTAGGGTGTTTTTTTCAGGTTTTAGGGTTTTCGGTGTGTGGCTTTAGGGTTTTAGTGTTGTGTTTGGGAAAGTTGTCTGTGCTGCACGTGCAAAGACCTGGTTGGGGAGTGTAGAAGTCGCGCATTCACTCCAAACCCCAACCTGTAGTCCCTAAACCATGTTGACAGTTGAGAAACTGAAGGTACGAAAACAAGGACGCAGCAAGAAGCAGGATTTCCCCCCCTCAATTAGGGTTTCGGGTCTAGGGTCTAGGGGTTTAAGCGTTTAAGGTTTAGGGCCAAGGGTTTCGCGCCCAAAGCCCTAAACCCGCATGCGCGACGGCATTGCTCAGCAATGACGGGTGAGACGGAAGCAAAACATGGGCGTGTAAACCCTACCCAAGCCATCCGAAGCCCTAAACCCTAACCCCTGAACTTTAAAACCCTCTGAACCAACACCCCACCCCGACCCCTAAACCCTACACCCGGATTTCCTAAACCCTACTGTAACCCCCTCTCAACCATGCATAACAAAAACCCTGAGCGCCAAGCTCGTTAAAGGGTGAGAGGTTCGGCTTCAGTCGGCTAGGGTTTAGGGTTTAGGGTTTAGGGTTTAGGGTTTAGGGTTTAGGGTTTAGGGTTTAGGGTTTGGGTTGAGGGTTTAGGGTTTAGGGTTTAGGGCCATAACGGCCCATGGGACATGTATGAAACTCTCTCTTATTGGTTTCAAGGGGATCATATGAAAGGTCTTTGTCAGAGGCGTGTAAAGTTCAGAGGGCCAAGGCTTCAACTACACACAAAGCCTTTGGGTTACAGCGTTTCAGGGTTGGGTTGTAGGGTTTAGGGTTTAGGGTTTAGGGTTTAGGGTTTAGGGTTTAGGGTTGAGAGGTTAGGGTTGAGGGTTTAAGGGTTTAATAAGGGGTGGAGAGCGGCATAGGATCTCACCACTACAGGCTTCCAGGGCTTGCCGGCTCTGGGGTGTGGTCCCCCCTAAACCCTAAACCCTAAACCCTAAACCCTAAACCCTAAACCCTAAACCCTAAACCCTAAACCCCAAGTCCTTCAAGCCCCAAGCCTCAGCCCAAAATCGTGCAACAGGCCCTTGCAAACCGCCAATATAGTGCAAAACCCGTTCTGACCCCCTCGCTCATCTAACACGAAACACCCTCTATACCCTATAACCCCCTTTTGAAGCCAGAGAAAACCCCTCATAAACCCTCACATAATCCCCGTATAAACCCGAAGCCCCCTTGCAAATGCTAAACTCTAAACCCTAAACCCTAAACCCTAAACCCGAAACCCTAAACCCTAAACCCTAAACCCGAAACCCGAAACCCGAAACCCTAAACCCTAAACCCTAAACCCTAAACCCTAAACCCTAAACCCCTTTATAGAGTCTCCAGGCCAGGATCTTCATGTCCGAGCTGCAGATGTCTCAAAAGCATGCGGAGCCGGGGAGCCCAAATGTACTTCTTAGGGTTTAGGGTTTAGGGTTTAGGGTTTGGGGCCGAGGGTGTGTAGCGTGTGTAAAGCTTATCCCGAAGCCCTAAACCCGCTGGGTCTAGGGTTTAGGCTTTAGGCTTGTCTTACTTTAGAGTCTAGGGGTGTAGGGCTCAAGGGCAGTGTGGGGCTATTTTGACGTAACTTTGAGCTGTTTTGGGTGCACATCCCCTGAAATCCCAAAGCTTAGCCTTTTTTTCTGCCAGGGTAGTCTTTTTCAAGGGCTCAGAGAGCCGTAAACCCCAAACCTTGAACCCTAGACTAACCCTAGAATCCTAGAACCCTACACCTCTAGAACACCTAAGCCCCTCAAGTCCTAAACTTTATGTAGGGTTTATACAAGGTTTACAAGAGGGTGAATCTAGGACGCGCTACCAGTACCCTACCTCCTCGGGTTTTGGCTTTAAGGGGTTTGAGGGTTCATACACAAGGAACTCATGTTTCGGTACTCTAAAGCTGAAGATGTTGTTGGGGTTTAAGGCACACCCCCCCAGGATGGGTCCAAACAGATCCTGGCTCCTAAGCCCTAAACAAACCCGCCACCCACTCCCTTGTGTTTGGGGCAG